TGGGGGGGGGGGGGGTGAGAGAAAATCCCTTTTTTTTGCTCTCTCTTACTTTCCCCTCGCATCAAGTATGCTTTAGTGCTGATATATGCTTTATTTTATTTTATTTTTCTTTCCAACATTGCGTCTTTTTTTTTCTTTTTTTATGCTGGGGCGGTTTTTTGTGTGCAGATACATTCACATACATATACATACATAGATAGACCTACATACATATGTTACATGGACACATGTCACGCGCTGCGGTAGCCCTAGTGGTAGTGGTGGTGGTAGTGGGAGTTCGGGTATGGATAGCCTGGGCAGGGGCAAGCGCATGTATGGCGGGGGCTGTACTAGTAATTGAAATAACCATGGCGATGACGGAGGCGATGATGCATGGAAGCAGCTTCACTCGCTCACCCACCTGGCCTGCCTACAACAAGCCGGGGGTGGTGTGGGTGTGTGTGTTCATAAACAGGCCCTTTACTACGCCATGCCATGCGTCTTGTGTAAGAAAGAGAAAAAAGGGAGGGCAAATTGGCCATTCAGCGGCGGCGGAGACACGACTAGTCGGAAGCTAAAACAGACTGCATCGTATACCGGGGCGCAACTTCCGCAAGCACGGCGGCTGACGGCGTCAATGGAGGCAGGCGCGTTCGGCTGCGGGTGCTGCTGCCGGAGTGGGAAACTGGAAACTGGAAACTGGAAACTGGAAACCGCGAATGTGACCGCGACTGCCCTCTTCATCAGCCCTACCTTCGTAGCGGTACTTGCCAAATGGGCGTGCGAACACCTCTCACTCACGATACTCTTTGCTACCCCCCCTCCCGCCCCCCAAACACCCACCACATGACAGCCGCTTACTCCGTCACCCTCTCACTTCCGTAACGCTTTCCCTGCCTCCTCATGGACATGGCCTCTGTCTCAGCTTCCGCAGTTCTGGGCGCGCTGCCAATGGGTCGCCGGCAGCGCGCCCGTCAACGTCCCATAGCCGTCGACGATTAACCCGCCCAGGGCTCTCCCTACTAGCAGCGCCCGTCGTGTTGGCTGCCTTGTCGCTTGTTTTACGCACCTTGGCTTGGTTCACGTTACCTGGGTCCGGTTTGCGCTTCGTTGCCCGCAGTGCCTGGATCAGCGCGCCCATTGCCAACATGCGCCGGCCATGGACAAGGCACCATATATCAATGTCGAATCAACCGGTGGGTTCGCCCACTCGACGACGTTCGGCAATTCGCCGGACGGGGCCCAGGGCGAACGGGGGATGAGGCGTCGTGTTTCAGTCAATGGCGGACGCACATACGCAATGCCACCCGCAGCCCGCGCGCGCGCTTTGGGCCCGATTCATGGCAAGCATCGACAAGGCCCGCCAGTGCCAGTGCCAGGGCAGAGAGCGCATCGCCGCCACCGTGTC